CCCCCCCCCCCCCCCAATGTTCTTAGATTAGGAGGTCTGCTGCTTAGGGCCACAGTGTGATGATATCATTGTACTGAGGACAGCCTTTCATTTTATCTGCACTGATATTTCATAGTCTCTTCTGCAAATTGCTCCCAGGGAATTAGGTTCTATTAATGTAAAAAAAAATTCTGCTCCTCCTGGTTTATAATTTTAGCATTGATATATTTAACAAAAAATGAATCTTTTGATTATAGATACACAACGCTGTCCTATCGAGCACCAGAAATGGTCAACTTGTACAGTGGAAAAATCATCACTACGAAGGCAGACATTTGGGTAGGTGTCAACTAACCTATCCACACCCCAGATATCATTAGTCATTGGCTGTAAACTCCCAAGATTAATGCATACAGTGGTATAGCATGGTAGCACCTGTACCATTACCATTGTCTCCTTCTCCCCTGGAGCGGTTCATGATGTGAGGGGACCAGCCACTGCTTCTTGGAACATGAAAAGAAAATCACTTTAGACCTACTTCTTTGATAATTATTCACATGATTTTCACTTACATTTTTCTGGTTCTTAAGAGCAAAATAGGAAATATATCTGTTCTTTACTAGAGCAGAATTTGGTAATATTGGTAGAAATAATGTAATTTGGCTGCTAAATAGCCACATTGAGTTCTAAATTTAATTTTCTAATAGAATAATAATATATAGTTTTTGTATGGATGGTGCCAGTATCTTTGATTAGATCCACTTGCAATTATGGTAAATAAACCACTAATAGCAATCTGCTTTCTTTTTTTTTTTTTTTTAGGCCCTGGGATGTTTGTTGTATAAATTATGCTATTTCACTTTGCCATTTGGGGAGAGTCAGGTGGCAATTTGTGATGGAAACTTCACAATTCCTGATAACTCTCGATATTCTCAAGACATGCACTGCCTTATTAGTAAGTATTTCAAGTTTCTAGTTTCACATTTTTATTTCTAACCACTAGGAATAAATTGGAAGATAAAGAGATTGGTTTCTAGGAGAAGATGGGTTGGATGCAAAGATTTTTTTTTTTTTTAATCAGTTAATAATAGCTGGGAACACATAGAAAGTTTAACAGTGTCTAGTTAGAGTGGTGGGTCTTTTTGCTGGAAATCTAAGCTCTATTTCACACCTGAGCCAGCCATAAGCAGAAATCCTAATTGTGCTTTGAACAGCACACTACTCCTGGGTCCTGTTGCAGTCTGTATGAAAGCTTTGGTTCCAAAGGAGTCCAGCTGACTCATATCAAATGATAAGAAATTCATCTTTGCAAAACTGGAAGCAACTCAAATGAAAATGATTGCAGTGCATTGGCTGGAATGAATACATAATTAAGACTGTATAACTTCATAGAACTAGGTTTTTCCTTTCATTTTAGGTTAATCACAGGATTTTTGAAACAAGCATCTAAACTCAATGCTTTGTTTAAAATAGTCCTAAGATTCCCTACTTTTCTGTATCATCATTGCAAGCATATGTACTAACATCCATTAACCAGATGGTAGAATAAATAATCTTTGCATAAGACCCTGTGCTAAAATGCAAAAGAATTAGAGATTTTTATCATCTTTCCGCATTGGTCCAGGCATTTAGCATCTGAGTTTTAACCATTAAGGATCATAAATCCTGAGCAACTCAAACTGGGTCCTGGATAGGGTACATTGGAAAAAACAAAATTAGCAACAGAGGTGGAGCATCTGAAATGTGTTGAGGACCTATTTGTACCTCTTCTAATTCTTAAAACCCTGAATATTTTAAGTATAATTATCCCTAATATGCACATGAGGAAACCGAAGTCACAAAAGTAGAGGTCTTATTCAAGTTAAAATAATTATAGAGTTTAAGTGACTCTATATTGCATTGTGTCAGTTTTATCCACCAGCCTCTTCCATTTATTAATGACAGTGGGAGGTGTTTAATTTAATGATGGTTAGATTGTTTTTAGATGTAAAGCATCATATCTAAACTAGAATTGCAGCTATGTAAAAAGGATCAGAAGGAAATATGAGAAAATAGCCAAATTTGATACTTAAGTAGCATTTTTTTTCTTTTTAATATTTTTCATTAAATTCATTTTTTAAAAAATTTTATTCTACTTGATAGACAGTAGAATGCATTAAATTCATTTTGGAAGAAACAATTCTTTAGAAAAATTGATAGCACTGACATCTTTCCCAAACTCGTATTTCAGTTTGCAAACTATTTGAAGATTCCATTATCACCTTGCAATCACAGGATTAAAATTCAATTTGTTCAAAGGGAGATCAGTAGACTAGAGAAAAGGGACCAGGGAAAGGATAGAAGGGAAGGAAAAGGGAGATGATAGGGAATGACATTGACCAAATTATATTGTTATATTATGTGCAGGTATGAATATACAACAGTGAATTCCACCATTATGTATAATTTGAATGTACCTTCAAAATGGAAAAAAATAAAAATTCTTATGTGGGGAAAAAATAAAATTTGATTTGTTTTTTTTTTTTTTTTTTTGCCCCTCCTTTTTTTCTCTTCTTTCTTTTTTTGGTCTCCAGGCATTGAACCTGGAGTGCTTAACCATTGAACCACATCCACAGCCCTTTTTATATTTTATTTAGAGACAGGATCTTGCTGAGTTGCTTAGGGCCTCACTAAATTGCTGAGGCTGGCTTTGAACTCATGATCCTCCTACCTCAGCCTCTGAGCCCCTGGGATTACAGGCATAGGCCACCAAGCCCAGCTCTTCCCTTTCTTTTTACCCCCAATATGAGAGTCCCCTTCTTTTCAGTTTCTCTTGTTGGTATTGCCAAGACTGGATGGGTGAAGTTTAAGATAGTCTTTGGATCTGGCTAGCAACAGAGAGAGAATTGGTTGTTTTCTATGTTGCATTAATTCTTCTTATTATCTATCTATCTATCTATCTATCTATCTATATATATTTAGAGTTGCTATTCTTTTCAATGATTCTCTTCTTTTCATCCATGTCACCATGGTGTGTATACAGATCTGTCAGCTCCTGTTCTAGCAGAATGGCCACCAGCTTCTCTCCTCTCTATGCTATCCAGTGCACCCTTGTCACAAGATTATTATAAAATGTTACCCTCTCATGCCTTTTTCAGTAAATTTGAGTTGCTTGCCAGTGGTCCCATAGTGGGGCCCAAGTTCTTAGCATGACATTTAAGATTTTCATGTTCTGGTTCTGTCCCACCCTCCAAGCCATCTCTCTACCCTGTCCTTTTGGCTCCTATTTCCATGCAGCAGGAGAATCTTTCTCTTGCCTTTCTCCAAGTTTGCCTTTGTTCACACTGTTCTCTCTTCTGGACTGTCTTTTTCTTTCTCCCTGACTGTGTTCTGTTCTGCTTCTTCTGCTAGACCTTCTAGAGCTATAACCTCACTGATTTTTTTTCTGAACTTAGCGTTCAAACCATTCATTATTTACTTAGGCAGGAAGTGCCCTGCACTAGTGTTGGGATATATACTCGTGTATCTGTGTCTTCTCAAAGACTTTTCCTGAGGGCTTTTCCAGCTTCCAAGAGGGCAGAAGCTTAAAGGACCTGGAAATAGAAAAGTGATCTATGGATCACAATTAAAGTAGATCGATTGATCGATCTATGTATATATGTATGTATATGTTACTTTGTAATTTCTCTTAAATTGGAAAGTACTTAATATCACCAACAAAAGAATAGGTAGTGAATTCATGATCTTTGGGTTTTGGTTATAATTATAATTATGAATAATCATTTGTTTAACAAGAAACTGTGAACTAAGCAAGCCAGCCACTAGACCATATAACTTCCTAGATATCAGAACATGAAGGTGGTAACTTTCAGATTCAGAGCTGGCACCCCTCTTGTGCATGGCATAGAATGTGAACTTCAGGTAGCTTGTTAAAATTCCGAGAGTTTATTTTCTTGTGGATATTAAATATTTTAGGAAAATTAGTTTCCCTTTCTAGGAAAAGGGCTAGTTGTACTGTTTGACTTTTATGAGACATAAAAATTAAAAATATCAAAATTTTGGTAGTAGAAAAGTTATGTTCTCTAGCTAATGTAACAACTATTAGGGTATTAAATAAGTTCACATATGTTTGTCATAGGGTATATGTTGGAACCAGACCCTGACAAAAGGCCGGATATTTACCAAGTTTCCTACTTCTCATTCAAACTTCTCAAGAAAGAATGCCCAGTTCCAAATGTACAGGTATGTGAATGGTGCTTGTTAACCAAAGTAAACCTTATCACATTGTCATTTGAGTTCTGAGCTGTTAATCAGTCTCTTAAGTGATGTAGATGTCCCTTGATTTATCTACTAGGGGGCATTCAAGCAAAGCTAACCATGAAGTAGAATAAAGAGAATCCAAAATAAAAGGAATCCAGTTTCCCATTGAATTTAATTATAAAACTGAGGCAGTTCACTCAACAACAAAAGCAACAAAAAATACCCTAGAGATTAAATTGAATGCGTGGGTGAAGAGTGGCCAGCTTGCTATCTTGTGAACGTGCACAGCTGCCTTCCTGAGGGAGGCCCTGGACTCGTCCCACCAGCCCATTTCCACTGCTCTCCCTCCTTACAGCAACGCTGTCTTGATTTGCCTCCACCATTGGCCATCTATAATTCACACTTGTGTCACACATATCAGACCATGTGAATCTTGTCTACACCAAGTATTCCTAAACTCCTTACTCATAGTTTTCAGAGTAAAATGCTTTGCAAACACCCTTTTTACAATTTTGGCTTTGGTGGTGTTGTTGTTATTGTTTGCTTTTACTGTGATGGGGGTGGAACCCAGAGCCTCACATATCACTAGGCAAGTGACTTACCACTGAGCTACATCCCCAGCCCCAATTTTGGCATATTTTTTAGGACATAACCCAATCTCTTGAATATTTTACTAATGGATGCTACAGTAAAATTTTTATTTATTTATTTATTTTTCTGGTGCTGGGGATGCTTAACCCTAAAAAGCCAGTGTTAGAGCTCATGTTCTGTTTGTCAGTTTTCCAAGATGGAAACAAGGGATATGGTACAGTAACTTTACATGACCAT